AGCTATGGATTTGGCCATTACCATTGGCCATTTAGTGGTGACAAATAAAAAACAAACACAAGTTTCAAAGTCAAGTTGGAATTTCCTGCAAGTTAGCAGGAGGAGTGGCAAAAGTAGCACACTTGTTGCTGTTTGACCCATTGCCTCCAGGAGTCCTTTTGTCTGGGTCTGTTGGCCAACACCTTTCACCTCACCCCAGGCTCTTGCTAACAGGAATGTCATTGACCTGGGAGCTTTCCAAGGGCAGGACTGATTGATGATAGTCCATCTACTGCTTAATCTAGTATAATCACTCAACTTTCTGTGTTTCTTCAGGGCCTGAGTACTGCTGCCAAGGAAAAGTGGTATGTAGAGATGGAGAGCTGATGAGGATCAATAGAGCGGCAGTTTCTGTAAAACGAAAAAGGCAGAAACAGGAAAACCATCTGAACTAAGGGAGCACGCAGTGCCAGAAGAGAAAAAAGTCAAGGAGTCTGGAATACAGCAATCCAGGGAGCTTGTGTGCTGCAGAGACAGAGAAGAAAAGCAGAGCCAGCTACTGCAAAGCCCGAAGGAAGCAGAGAGACCACCGGGGAGGCAGCATTCTGCAGAAAATCAGATCCATCAGGCACAAAAAGGAAGCGACAGAAAAGTCTAATGAGTGGCCAGGGGTGAAGTCTGTATGTGCACCTCTATTTACACTTTCAGTCTAACTCCTGAGTAACATCATTCTCTTCTTTTACAGGAGGGAAAATGAGGATCAGAAATACGGAGTCACTGCTAGAAACATAGATGGGGAAAGCATCACGCATCTTTCAGTCCCGATCACCAAGTACTAGCTATAGGTCAGCCAAACTAAGAAAGCAGTGAATCATCTTATCTTCAAGGTAAAGCAATTTTAAGGCTTAAACTCATCACCTGGAAGCAAGGCAGAAAACCCTGGAAATATATCTCATGAAACTTCTTATGATGCTATGAAACTGAATCGATCTAAGCATCTTCAGTATTTCAGTTTCCAAAATGAACCGGACCATATACCAGGAGAGGCATAAAAGAAGCACGGTAGAGGTAGAAGATATGTATAGTTATATGCAGCTATGCTTCTCTGCTTAAGCTTTTGGAATTAATTGCCAGCCACTCTTCAAGTCTGTGGGAGTTCAGCCAGGACTTTATTAAGGCCAAGAAATGTAACAGGTCTCAAGTCTTCCTGCCTGCACAACAATCTCCCGGCAAGGCCTTCAGAGAGCTCTGAGGACTAGTCTCAAACAAAACCAAAACCAAACAGCAGATAGTAGGGGTCTGACAATGAGAACTAAACTTTTCCTTCCACAACTAAGTCCTCTTTGGCACTGGAATAAAAGGAAACAAGTCTTTTTCCGCTTGTGGACCCTTTCATTCTTCTGTAAGGAACTGAAACAGATATAACTCTAAGGACTAAGAGCTGTATTGTGTGAGAAAATTACAGCAAGGGAAGTTGGACTGCATCATTAAGCTATGGCAAGATAGTCATGAGCAGGAAACTAAAGGGTGAGCCTGTAAATGCACTACCCTTATGTCACACAAATGAGCCACTCATGTTTTCTCTGTTACATTTTCTCTCATTTGAATACAGTTCCTTCCTCTTTCGGCTCAAATCAGAGTTTCTGCCTAGCTTTATTCAAACAGCTGTGTCATAAATCCTGAGCTTATTGCAGCTTTTCCTTGCTGCCTCACCTTGTATCGCAGGGTCACACAAAAAGGACAAAGTGTATCATCACAGGACTGTGTGAGATATCAGCATGTTTCTGGCTTTGCCCCCATCACTTCCAGGCATGACATTACCAGTGAGCTGACATTAGGAGAGCCAAACAGGTGATCATTTCTTTTCTGCTCCCCACAAAAGGCCTGATGCAAAAACTCACTGGAATTGGTAGAAATATAAGGGGCTTTGACTCAGACCCAAACAGACCAGCCAGGAATAATGCTGAAAATGTATCTGGAGCTGAGATGGTACAAAGGGACTAATCCCGGTCACCTTCCTTTACCAAGAGGCTCAGAGTGATTTGAATTGGCTAGCTTCTGTTGCGAATTAAGCTCAAAGCCCCAAAGGCAACTCGATTCTAGTCATCTAGCTTTGCAGCCTCCTCCAAACTTGATCCAGAGGGAAAAGTTACTAATCCTATTCAGTTGCTACACTGAGCTAGTGCCATTGATTAAAAAAGCTTGGGGCACAGGGAAAATGAATAATCTGGGTCAGCTTTCCTCTGCAAGCCCTTTGCACAACTTCACCAAAAAAAAAAAAAAAAAAAAAGGTAAGGAGACAGTGACAGGAAGTGCTGATACGAAGGAAAGTTTCACCCGATGCACGTGCTTTACAGAAAAGAAATTGAAGCAGATCGGTGAACTTTTGTCAAATTTCCCAAGGTAGAAAGAGATTGGATTAGAGGAGGTAGCTCTCCTATTTGCTGGAAAAAGGATCATGTTCTACACTCTTTTCCAGTTCTTCACTGTCCATGCAGGGCTGAGAGGACAACCATGGGTGGGAGCAAGGCAAGTTGCAAAATCACTTCTGGGCATAGAAATTAGCTTCTTGGCTCTGTCTGTCTCCAGGTCTATGGGTATGGCATGGCTAGCACAGGAGATCAGCCCATTGCCTGGTCCTAGCCATGACCTAGGAGGTGAGTCATAAAATGGGAGTTGCCACTGTAACAGCTGCTGAAATGATGACATTTAGTAGATGCTTTCAGCAAACGCACTTTTGGGTAGGCTTCAAAGTAAGTAACTGTGGCTCGGCAGGGCTACCAAGGATTGTGTGCTGCAGAAAAAGTTAAGTCTACAGACAACCCCCTACCAAGGTTGTTAATTTAACAAAGGGAAGATGCATGTGTGATTTTGTAACAATCTTTACGTTTTCCCTGCTCCTTATTGCAGTTAAGTGGACGGCTTTCATTATTAATATCAGTTCTCTCATTTGACCTTGGTGCAGGTTTCCTGTGATGACAGGAAAGGGCCGGAGGTTTGTTTGTGGTGAAAGTGAAGATTTTCTGTTTTAAAAAAGTTGTTTCATAAGCAGTGAAATGTGTGAAGCCTGGTCACCTTGCTTTGTGTCCTCTCATGTCCTGCATTTGTCGCCTGGCACGCACCATTGTGCTGCCAGCCCCATCCTCCACAGCCCCCCAGGTTAGTTAGGAGAATGCTGACAGTTGCTGTTAAATATATAGGAGCTGAATTCTGTCCCCCTTTTGTCAATGAGGTTCATGAAGTGACCAGATCACCCGCCTTTATCTAAATGCCAGTTTTCATGAAATTTATTATATGTCTTCGAGGTCTTTGTCAATGGTAGAGACGCCAAAGCTCCACAGTTACTGGAGGGAAGGATGACCATGGCTTCCCAAGTGTCATTCCCATGGGTCAAACTAGACAGGTTGGCTCTGCTAGCAAGCTGCTTGTGGAGGACAATTCACCAAGGCCTAATACATGGTATCACAGGTAGTAAAGACGGAAGAGGAGGGTTAGCAAAAAAAAAAAAAAAAAAAGGCAACAAACTTCAAAACCAAAAAGCACACCCAAAGGCCAGGAAGTGTAATGCTGCAGTGGAATTCCATGCTTCTGCAGAATTTCTTCTTCTGCCAGGGTGACTCTCACAGCGTCACTGGTGCACCAGGCTAGCACACTGCATGGCTCACCCACACGGGAGACTGGGCAGCAAGTCTGGGGTGGGTGTAGGTAGTTTGGGGGCTGAGCCAGGTGAAATGAGGTGCTGCTGAGATGTGTGCAGAAAAGGGGGGAGGATAGAGAAAGAGAGAGGATGAGGAGAGAGAAGCAGCAGACGCAGAGGTCCAAGGAAACAGAAAAGAGAGTGACCAAGGGAAAGACTGCCCCTGCACAAGCACCCCCTTCAGGGTACCTCTGGCCCAAGGGTTACTGGATATAAATGGCAAAAGATCAGCGCCACGACCAGATCCATGTGGTGAGTCACTCAAGTGTGAAGCTGCTGACCCACAGACGGGAGGCTCAGCATCCCCAGGCAGTCCTGCCTACAGCTGGCCCAAACACCCCTTTTCTTCAGGACCCAAGCGTCCCCAGGAGAAGCTACAGGCATGCATCTCCCCACCCCGACCCTTAGTTTTTTTTTGTTCCCGCTCAAGTCTGCGCCCTTGATAAGGGACAGGGGCACCCCCGCAGAGGATCGCCCGCTTCACCCCGCCGGTCCCACGGGAAGCCACCCCGCCGGTACCCTTCCCAGTCGCTGCGAAGCGGACATGTCCAGCCCCGGGATGTCCCCCCCCGGCGCGGAGCCGTGTCGCCCCTCCGTGTCCGTGTTACCGTCCCCGTTCCCCCCCCCCCCCCCCCGCCGCTCCGGCGGGCTCGGTTTTGTCATTGAACGCCCGGGAGTCCCAAGGCGTCACGCCGTAACCGCAGCGTGTGTGCCCGCGGGTCACCTCGGGGTGGAAGGATGAAAATACAAACTCCTGCAAACTCCTGTTCGTTATCGTGATGCGCGGCAGTGACAGTCATTGTATTTTCGGCCATTGAAGATGCCAAGTAATTCGATAGGCGGTCCCTCCGCAGGCTGTGGAAACTGGCGGCACCGAGCCAAATTTGCCGCGGGTGAGGTCGGTGGGAATGCTGGTCCCTGGTGTCCCTTCACGAGTGGGTCTGGCACCTCCAGGAAGAGCCGCGGCAGCGCAGCGGAGCGGTGGGCTGCTCCCTGTGCCCACGCGTGGGCCGGGGGTGGCGGGTCGCTACAGCCAAGTCACTTTTCTCCGTCGGGTGGACAGGGAGAGCGAGAGATCAGCAGCAAAGGTTTCGGGGAGGCGAGTAAAACGCCTCGCAAATGCGATACGCTAGCAGCCCAGGCGGCTAAACGCCGCTGCGCCGTTCCCGCAGATGGGCTCCACATCAGGAGACTCGGGGGAAAAAAAAAAAAAAAAAAAAAAAAGCGGAAGAAAGAAAAAAAAAATCCCTAATACTTTTACCTTTGGAAAATCGAAGGGGGGGTTTTCGTGCTGTCGCTGCCAAGCCCAGGATTTTGTTTTCTCTCCCAGCATGCGTTGATGACATCACGAAGTACCCCTTCTTTGTGTGTCAGTGATGTCACCAAGTGCAGTGTGGGGGACAATGGAATCCTGAACTCCGGGCGAGGGCGAGTGGGAAGCGACTGCTCCTGCTGCTGGTGCAGGGCTGAGCCGGGGGAGGGAAGGGAAGACACATCTGCTGCTTTAGGGCTGAAACAGGTGAGAGACGGGAAAGCTGCCGGGGATTCCTTTTGCCTTGCTTGGGGGGGGGCGGGGGAGGGGGGAAAGCTTTGAGCTTTTTTTTTTTTTTAACCCTCCTTCCTCCTCCCCCTCCTTATTGCTTTCCAACTGAGACAGGTGAGAAGTTGCTGTGCTGCTGCCGGAGGGACAAAGCAGGTGAGGCAGGGGAGAAGCTTTGGGGTCGAAACAGTTATAAGAATAGGAGAAAAGCAAGCAGCCCCCCCGCCAAGCCTCATAACCCGCACTCAGCCTTTAAAAAAAAGCCGCCCCGGGAGCTTGCCCCCTCTCTTCCAGCCACCTGCCTCGACCGCGTCCCCGTGGGGCTCTCGCACGGAAGCAGAAGTGGAGCCGGGGAGGGCGTTTATCCCTCCCCCCTTGACACCCCTGCAGATTACTTTCCAGAGGGTCTCCATTAAAAACTCTGCGTCCCCCCTCCGAGCGCTCCTTTCTTCCTTCCCCAGCACCCTCCGGAGACGGGGGACACGGGACGGGGGGGCTGTAGCTGCCGTGATCCCCCCCCTCCGGCCCCGGAGCGGGGGGTCCGCCGCCTGCCCCCCGGGGCCCCCGCTCCACGCGAGGCGGTGGGTGGCAGCGCCCCTGCCCCGCCGCCCCCCCAGCCCCGCTCGGCGGTGGGGGAGGCAGTCAGGGAAGCCATTGCCTGTTTAATAGTTGCTGTTGCAGCACTTCCGCTTCTCTCCCAGCGAGAGAGACACGAGTGGCCAGGCCCAGCCGCACCGAGGAGGAGCAGCCAGACACAAAGGGAGAGGTACGGGGACGGGGCACCCCCCGCCGCCCTCTCTGCCGGCCCCGGGGGCAGGGGCGAGGGGCAGGGCCGGCCGCGGCCCGGCGATGGGGCGAGAGGCGGCGGAGCCGCCGGGGCAGGGGGATCGCGCCCGGGGCTGTCAGGTACCGCTGTCGTCGTCGTCGTCCTCCCCCCACCCCCCCCCCCCCCCCCCCGGGCCCTCGCCGCCCGGCCCTGCGGGCCCGCGGCCGGGGGGGGGGGGCTTGGCCGGGCCCCCCCTGCCCCCGGCTCTCTCCTGGCGGTGGGGCGGCCCGGCGGGGGACGGGGAGCTCCCTGGGGGCCTTTGAGGGGGGTGGCGTGGCGGCCGTGTGCCGGCCCCCCGGCCCGCTGCTGCCCTCCGCGCCGCTCGCCCATGACCCCCCTCACTCCCACCCTAACTCTCCTGGGGTGCCCCTGCCTGCCCCCCCCCTTCCCCCCCCCCCCCCCCCCCCCCCCCCGCATCCCTCTCAACGGCTTCTCGCCCCTCCCGGGTGCGGACCTGCCCTCCGTAGCCCACTGTGCTCGCTTTCCTCCCCTCTTACCCCAGCGGTACCCGCATGAAGGCGGGCTGCCTTCCCCCGGCACCCCACTGCCCCCCGCCCTGCCACCAGCCTCCCCAGGCCCTCCGCTCTCACCCCTTGTAGGCCCTGGCCTTGCTTTTCCTTTCCCCTCCTGCCCCAGCACAGACCCTCGGTTCCCTTCCCCGTCTGACGACATGCCCTCGGTCGAGTGGGCCTCAGTGAGGTCCCTCTGTGCACCCCCACTCCCTGCTTAGCTGCTCCCCTTCATTCCCCCCTCCCTGCCCCCCTGCTCCCCACACCCTATCCAGCAGGTAGGGGTCAGACGGCAGGCAGGGGTTTCCCCACCACAGGTCACAGATCCTCTTTTGGGGTCTCTCCCCCCTGTTGCCAATGATGCCCCACTTCCATTTTACTGCTGGCAACTGTCACCCCCCGAGTCGCGTCCCTTCCTGCCTCCCCCCTGTGCCTCCCGGGAACCCAAGGGACCGGGGCTGTTCCATTTTTATTTCCTACACCCCTAGGCTGGATAGTGGTGGGTAGTGATGGCTCCCCTTGTGTGTGCAGTTTGGGGGGAGATTAGAAGGGATTGCTTTGAGCTTCCCTGATCCTCACAGTCGTCCTTGTTCCAGTCTCCTCTCATTTTGCACTTGCTCTCTGAGAGGAAGCTTTAAAAGTCCCTTTCCCCCTGCTCTTCCGTGTGACTAGTGCAGGGGAGGCTATTTCTCCTCCTGCTTCGGCTGTAGGGCCTGAAGAGGAGAGGGAGACACGAGGACCTTTTAAGAGGAGCATGACCCAAACACAGAGCGAGATTGTCAGCAGCCTTTCTCTGTGTGTGTTTGTGTTCACTGTGTGTTCCCCACGCCCCATGGTGTCTCCTCTCCAGGTTGGGGTGTGTGGTGGGGGGGTCGCTATGTCGGATGACGATTCGAGGGCCAGCACCAGCTCCTCCTCATCTTCATCCTCCAACCAACAGACAGAGAAAGAGACAAGCACGCCTAAGAAGAAGGAAAGCAAAGTCAGCATGAGTAAAAACTCTAAGCTGCTATCTACCAGTGCCAAGAGGTGAGGCTGCAGTCAGTTTTCTCACTGATTCGCTGCATCTTCTCTCCTTCCTCATTTTATTTTGCTCCATTCCCAAACTGCTCGTTTGCTGCTCCCATTCTTCATCCCTCGCCCTTGTGCTGAACCTTTCCGCGTGAAGCTGCCATTGTCTCACTTTTTTCAGCATCTCGGTGCAGTGAGTGTCTACCCAACTTTGCTGCTCTCTGGTCTCTTCCTGCTTCTTCCTCTGTTCCATCCCAAATATTTTCCTCTCTTTTCTTCCTCTGGGCTGTTATTCTGTCCCTCAGGTTTTTTTCCACTGTCTTTTCCTTTTTCCTTATTAGCATCAGTTATAGGAATGGTATAGGATTGGCATGTAGGACCTTAGTTCCTTCTCTGCTACTGGAAGCTATGTGCTCTTGAGTAAGGCATTGTATTTCAACATCAGTTTCCATCTCTGTAGGTTGGGATTGATCTAGAGTGGATTTTTTATTTCCAGGACTACTTTGGGGATTAATTAATGTTTGTGAAGAGTTTTGAGTTTGCTTGCACTGGGGGAGTGCACTCTAGTGCAAGTGGTGTAATATAACCCCAAATCTTTTTCACCAAATATATTACTGCTATTCTGTATGCTCATCGCTTATATTGAATTTTCTGTATATGCTTGGATATTGACTAGAATGAGTAATCCACAGCAGGTTCACTTGTCGACATTCTGCTCTACAATAGTTTTTGCTCACAGCACAAAGCAGGTTGTTTTTTTTGAGAATGAAATAAGTTTTGTTCCAGAATAAGGTCTACATGGGGGAGAGGTGCCTGCACAGAATAGTAATTCCAGAGCAGCTACGTCAGTCAGTTTTCTCCACCTGGACAGGCTCTTGTAGCCACTATTTTAAAAAAAAAAAAAAAAAAAAAATATTACCTTGTTATGTTTTTTTTTTAATTTGTTCTCTGTTTCACCTGAATTCAGCACCATCCTGCTTCAGGGAGCTAAACTCACAAATGGAAGTTTTCAGGCAAACTTGCAGTACTTCAGTAAAAATAATAAACCATCTCACTGAGCAGCTTTGTCAAGCAGCACAGAGAGGTTATATCTGTAGGTGTCAAAAGTGACTGGGGTTTTATGCAAATGCCCTGTCATCACAACTGAGTTCTCTGTGGCTTTGTAGAATTTAGGCAGTTTGGTTATTCCAGATCTTCACTTGGCAGGTTTCCATGGCAAACTGACATAGATAGTGGCAAGCGGTGTTTATGTGCCATGCCCTTAACTATTTTAAAACGAAGATGGTAAACTGCCTAATATGAAAAGGCTGTGGTTCTCATGTATGACAAGTGGAAGAGAGGCAGAAGATGCTGGCTGAGCTTCAAGGAGAAGGGAGGCAGACTGAGTGCTGGGTGGGGAAATCTGGAGGGGAAGCCTGAGTGACAGTAATGGGACTCCAGGGAAGGGGATGATGGCTGGTTGGGCATTTTGTGGCAAAAGCAGTGTGAGCCCAGAATAGTCTGGGCAGGGAGGACAGGGTGTTGTCTGAATGCAGTGAAGAGATGGAGCGTCTGGAGTCCTGAAGGAGGGGACTTGGGGATGTTGTGTGGCTCTTGAAGGTGAAGAGAGGGGAGAGTTGAAGGTGGCAGGAATGTGCAGGAGCCTCAGAAATAGATATTCACCTTCCTTTAAGTGTCCTTGGGAATGGCGCAGTAATTCACTGCCTTGGCGCTGATGTTTTTTCTCAGGATAATGATATGAAGCTGGGGGAGAGGGAGGGGGAAGGTCAATTTGGCCATGATTGTTTCTCACAATCCAGCAAGACAAAATTCCTTGTCAGACTGCAGTTTCCTCCTATCTCTTGGTGCATCACGTTTAGCAGAGGTTTTCCCTCATTTACAGGCTGATTGACAGAGTAAAGTGGACAGTCTTTGCCACGGCCCTTGCATGGGGAGCATACAACAGTGTACCTGCCTGAGTTCAGCGCACGGTGCGGGTCAGCTTTTCTGCACAACTCTTTTTAACAGCGCTCCTGTCCTGCTTAGTGTGTTTGGACTGCTGGGAGGCTGCAGTTGAGAGTGCCTCTCTCTTATGTAGTGTTGCAAACTCACGGTGACAATATGTCAGTAAGGCGTATGTGTTAACTGCTATCCCACACAGTGATTTACCTTTGTTCCTTCTCGCTTTTATTGCCACAGGATTCAGAAGGAATTGGCTGACATCACCTTAGATCCACCTCCCAACTGCAGGTTGGTGTTGATTCCTTCCCTGAGGAGGGTGGGGGAAGGTGAGGGGCTGAAGTGTGCCTGTGTGTATTCTAAGTGTCCTCAGAGGCTCTGGATAGAGCAGAGGAATGGCTGTTTAGGTGGCCAACAGTACTTTTGTGAATGTTTGGATGACGTTAGTTTCCAGGTGTGGGGGGGGGGGGGGGGGGGGGGGGGCCTCTGGAGATTATTTCTGTTTTGATACGAGTTTTCTGTTTGTGTTTGGGGTTGTTTTTGGTTTTGTTTTTGTTTTTTTTTTTTTTTAAAACAATTGTATTTCAATCTGTTATACTGCTTTGTGTGTATGTTTCTGAAACTGGCCTATAAGGAAGAGTGTGAAAACTTTCTCCTTGTTTGTTTTTTTTCTGGTTTATAAATCTAATGCCTGACTGCACTAATCTTATATAAATAAGAGTCCTGCCAAGGAATCAGAGAATAGTAAAATGCTATGAGCTTTTTAGCTTAGAGAGTTCTGTTGTGAGCAGTAACTTACAGTGGAAGAGAAGCGTGAATTCATCGCTCAGTGGGTGCCCTACAGGAGCACACGTTAGCTGATGAAATAAAAAGCAGGGATATTCTGTTGCCCTTTATAGAGCAGCTTGGTTTTAAGTATATTTTAGAAACTTGCACCGTTTGTTTAAAACATCTAGCAGGTTGATTTGGTTCATTGCATGGTGGCCCAAGCCTCTTTGCATTTAGAGACGAGACAGTAGTGGTGTAACATCTTTGGTTGAGCTTGTTCATTTGAGAGGAAAGTGATTTTTGGTCTGGTCTATGCTTGCTGTAGTTGCCAAAGCACAACTCTGTTCCTGTCTTCTTGCTGTGGCTGAGGTTTGAGGCTTTTTGATGTTGGTAATAGCAGAAATCAGAGAAAATTCTGTTTATAAATAACTATTTAAGTTGGTCTTTTTAGAATTGAATTGCCACCCACAAATGCACATGAACCTTTTTATTGAAGCTTTTTGCCACTATTAGTCTGCAGGGGGGCATTAGCACAAGAGTTAGTCTGACAGGTCCAGAGCCACTCTTTTGGTACCAGTCCCAAGGATCATAATTAGAGGGATGGGATGAAGCATGTGAGCAGAGGTCTAGGCTGATACTAAGATCTTTGTGGTGCTTGGAAGATGAGCTCTGAACTCTTTAGCTGTGACAGTAATGACTACCTGAATAGAACAAGAGCTTCCAGCTCTTGGGCTGGAGGTGTCTGTCCCATCTGTGTCCTGGCTTTGTGTCAGGATGAAGTCCACATGCTTTCCCCTCCTCCCCCCACCATAACCTGATTTTCATGAGAAAGCAAGCCAGAAACACAACCCAGAAAGACACTGTGGCTTGCTCTCTAGATATCTGAGTCTGGATGATCAAGATTCTGGGGCTGCAGTCTGAACTTCGCAAATCTATCCAAAAGTTGTGATAATATACGAGTATGTCAGATTGCAGGTTTCATCTGAAGGTTTATATAAATAATATTAGAACCCTAATTTGTCCTTATTTCAGTTGGCATCATTCACAGGTAAAGATGGGCTAGCAGACTGCCTGTCAAAATAGAATATAGTTTTGATTTTTCTTTTTTTTTAATTATATAGACCACTGAGGATTATGCACTTCAAGGTCCATATAGTAAGTTTGTGTTGTTTCAGCTTTTATAACTATTTCTAGTGGTAAAAATTAGTTCACAGTAGAAGTAGTGATGATTAATCTTCACTCATAATGCAATTACAGCTATTCTGCATTCCTTCCAACCTTCAAATGAGTGACAGTGAAGACTGGCAACTTGCAAATAATACACAAAACTGGTGTAATTGTTACTGGCTCTTAATATGTTGATAGGTAGAAAAACATGAATGGAGGGGTTTGTTTGTGTGTGTGACCAAAGGAGTTTTGGTATTGCTCATCTTGGGGTGAAGTCATCCTACTTCAGTAAAGAGAGTGCTGAGAATGAAGGAGAGCAGCCCTGCTTATGGCTGACGAGGTTCCAAGTGCACGGGCAAACACTGGGAGTTTACTTCTGTAGCAGCTGGTTTGCAAAAGGGTCGGCAGGTACCAATTACCAGAGCAGTGAGATGAGTTTCGGCTATTGCAGTTATGGGGAAAGTTCACCTCTTGTGGAAAAAGACATAGAAATAGTCAATTTGTGAGTGTGAGGAGATTAAGCAAGTGATAGACTTTGGTTGCTGCGTGATGTTTAAAGTTGCCAGAATTTGCTCTGGGGAAGCCTGCTAACAGTGTCACTGCTTTCCTTTCCTTTTTTTTTTTTTTTTTTTTTTTCCCTTCGTATGAACATTATTAGCATGCTGTGAGTGAAGTATTAAATACGTAGTTCCAGAACTTAGTTTCAATTTTCTGCTGTCATGACTTTGCTTATCCTCACCTTTCCTCTGACCTCCAGCCCCTCATCTCTCTGCTGCCTTTGTGCTTCTACAGACTTTTTTCAGGTGTCACTGGAGGGGAGGGCAGTCCTCTCCTTTTAGGCACCTCACTCTGTCCTGCAAGACTTACCTCAGAACGTACATATTCAGGGAGCTATATGATACCAGGTGCTACCTGGTATTCTGCTGTCAACTTTAGGGGTGACAAAGTCTCAGAAGTCACATTTGAAAATGTGCATCCAAAACTGTATCCTGTGTTATTCTTTTTTTTATGTTTTTTCTACTGGATGTCTGTTCTTACACCACCATCTTTGTATTTTCCCCTGTTCTGTGATGTGCCCAGTGTTTGATAGCAGCTCATCGTTGGCTGTGCTTTAATTTTTGGCCTCATTGCAAAGTCCTGTTCTTCTTACAATCTTATTGTGGTAATGGGAGTTCAAGATATCTAACACATCTCAGAGCAACTCTGCATATTGAAAGAAAAAGCTTTAGGTTGCAAATGATTTTTAGTAAGAACTGTTTTGTTTTTCTTCTTATAAAACACCACATATAAGATGCAATTACAAATAATGAAACTCATTTGATATTTCAAATAAAATAGCTTAAAAACAAATGAGTTTCATTTTTATTTTTGTACCTTGCAGTGACCACATTTTCATGTGTGTAACCCACAGATCATCTGTTTTTAAAAAAAAAAAGGGGGGGAAAAAGACATAAAGCCAAACCCCAAGCACACTCAACACCCTGTGATTGATCAGCTGTGTGGGTTTTACACATTTGTGGGTAATAGGAGGGGAAGTTTATTCCAGACCTTCCTCCTCTCAGGAGTTTCCTTGCTTCTGGTTTTCCATAGCTTGCCTGTGTCCCCCGAATGCTTACCTGTGCTTGTCTCTCATTGACTGCTTCATCATCTCCTGTGGTCCCTTTGCCCCTCATGCCGCCCTCCCTAGGCTGTGATTTTGATTTTACACAGGCTGGTACCGTTACTCATACAGGCATGCAGAATATGTGCAGGGAAACACAGTCTGTGTTTGATCTGCATTCAAAAAATACATTTTTGGACTTGAAGACATTTTCTGAAAATATATATTTAATACATATCACAAATAGTGAATTACTAGTACAATAGTGTATGTATGGCATTTGGCTACTTTTGAATTGTTCTTACTCTTCATCATTTTTGGTAGGCTAGTGCTCTAGAGATGTTTGATTTCTGTTGTCTGCAAGATTATTTGACTTCTGATATTAACACTGAGTTATGAAAGTTGAAAGTAGCTTTCAAGTTCAGAAGGTGGTTAGTGGTTAATACGAATTAAAGAATAACTGTTTAGATCAAAAGTGGTTTAAATCTTTTAAGAGAGTACCTGGTGATTTCTTCTACTTCGTACTATATTAGAAAGTTACAATTCTTGTTTTAGAACACAGAGGGTACCTAGAGAGACTTTGGACTTTTGGTCTTCTGTATATTTTGGTGACAGGGGAATATGTCATGTATGTGCTTTGGGTCGTGGAAGTCTGCATCCGCAACTGTCTGCAGATGTCAAAATATGGTTCCATCTTGCTACATAGGCAGGCTTGATCTTTGTAGTTAACACTTGTGAGCATTGTGCCAAAGCTTTCCTTCTGTCACTGTGACGAAGTTTCCAAAGCTTTAACAGAAGTTAATTAAAGCTTTAAGTACTGTTTATTCTCTTTATGTCATTTATTTGATCTCTGTATCTAAGCATCTCCTGATAGTAAATCTGCTTATTGCCGTGAGGTTATGAAATAAATGTTTTTCCCCATTTTAGGGATGGGGAGTTGCAGCACACAAAACCAGAGTGATTTGTCCACGGTCGCACAGGAAGTCTGTGGCGAAGTGGAGAAATGAATGTAAATCTCCTTTGTTTCAGACCAGCTTGCAGCTGAGCTGTTCTGCTGGAACTGTGTGTATCGGTTGCGTTATGAGCAGGGCTTTGAATTTGTGCTTTATTGGGTGTCTGGTTTCGACTGTATGTAAGCATGGTAATTTAATGTTATTTTTGCCATCTGTGTAGAGGGACCAAAATGGATATTAACTCAAATTAATGTTTTTTAATCTTTCTTACCCAAACTGAAACAAGTTTATCTCCACATGGCTTATTTAAGTCCATACAGGCAAGACCAGCTGTTATTTAAACAAAAATAATTTTCAAATCTTTACCGAAGGAGGCATTTGCTTGCAAGGCTTACCATTGCTTCAGAGTAAAATGCTATCACGAATTCATTATTTAAATAATAATAAAATACAGTTGTGTTTCCTGGCTCCTTCAGCCCAATTTTTTTAAATTCACAGAATAAGGACCAGATCTCCCTGAGAGTCTTGTGAAAGTTAACTGTCAGCACTTTATAAATATATGTCTCGGTATAGATGGTGGGGTTAAGTGCTGTCCACTATAATGCGTAGAATATTCATAGTTTTCAAAACTTTGCAATGTGGAATTAAGATTTCTTGGCTAGAGAGAAGTCTGCAGAAAATGTGTGGCTCAAAGGCAGTTTTGAACTCAATAGTTTAATATTATAATTAATATTTTATCTACATACCATGGAAGTCTGGCATTTGTTTTGATTACATTTGGTTTTATGGTGCTTATAATTTTT